TGTGACAAAGACGGAATAAAAAAATGGGAGTGGTTTGGTATTGATGCGGGAATGTTTGCTGGTTCGGAACAAAATTACGTTCCTCGTGCTTCTTTATATACCTATCTAGGAACGGTCTTTATTTGCACTATTATTAGTGCAGAATTAATTGTTGTAGAACTCGTACTCATAATATAACGGCGGATAAGGTCGACGTTCAGGGTTGTGTCAGTTACCACCTATTTCTGACATGGGTTAAGTCATAGCAGAGAAAGAGAATTTATTTCCACTCGGGAAGGGTTAGAGTGAGTGGGAAACAGTAATTTGTACATGGCATAATACTCGGTTCAATTAGACATAGCCTAAGTCATCTCTCTGACAGTGGAGGGAGTTCCGGCCTAAATTGATTCCTTGTAACCCTGGAAACCTGGCGCTAATTAACACCTTTGTACCCGTGTCTGGCACATAACTAATACAACATACACCCACTGTAATACAGAGTATAGCCGCCCAAGATGGCAGAACCTCCAGTTATATGACTTAGTACCATGCGGTATTGAAACGAGTGAAAGCAGAAAGTAAACGTGGAGATGCTAAAATGAAGGCAAATGTTCACACGCCGTTAAAGAGACAAAAGGCTCATTAAACCAGAGTAACCAAAATATGCGAAGCGCTCAATTTAAGGCCGCCTCACGGCAGTATCAGGCTGTGCTCACAATCATGCGAATGAGATAGCCCATCGTTCCTTTTCATGCCGCTTTGGTGTGAGTAGGCAGTGATCAGCCCCCCCAAACTATCACGCATACAACAATGCTTTCCGATGATCAATTTTCCGACGGGGTCTGCGCATCAACCAGAGCTTGGGTAAGCCGGCACTCCCGCGTCCAGTGGAGAAGGTACAAAACGACGATAAAAATCTGCACCTCTTTTCTCCATTTGAACGGGAGTGGGAGACGTTTTAGGCCATCTCTGAAACCACTTGACTCGTATGTACTTAAAAATACAGCCACAACAGCGCATTCCTCTCCTATGCGGCCATCTGCAGGGACAGTCGAGCCACGAACAGAGGTGCCATTGCCCCAAGCAATCTTGGCAGCTTGCCGCCAAGACTCAGTCACGTCTACCATCATGTCCCGCGTGTAGAATAGTCGACAATTGGCAGCTTCGTAATTTGTATTTTAAATGCAAAGGGAACCCGTTGGTGTCGTCCCCACTAACCCAACCACCCCCTCCAGGAACCACCACCCTGGTCCAGGAACTAGCTTATCAGTATGGCTAGGAGGCAGTTGAGCCACATCTGCTACTCTACCCTATATAAAAATAATAATATAATAAGAATAATTATAGTTAATTAAGTAAAAATACTAAAAATAAAAAAAAATATAAATAAATTCTTTATATACTAAATAAGCTATTAGTAATTTTTTTTCTTTTCTAAATAATTAATCTTATTATTAAATATATAGCTTATTATAGTAATAGATTTTACTACTTATAAAGCTATTTAAGTATATTAAACCTTATATTACTATCCTATTAAATCTTCCTATATAGGGTAGGTTTAGAGACCTTCTCTAATTAGCTAGATAAAGTAGAAACCTTCTTAGTTAGCCCTTAATTTAAGCCTTCTAATTAGCTAAAGGCTTTAAATATCTTTTTAAAGAGCTACTAAGTCTCTAAATTTAGAAATTAGATAGTAAGGTTATATACTACTTACTACTAGATATCCCTACTTTTTATAGGTATTTAAATTTTAATTAGCTAGTCCTTTATAAGGACTATATCTACTAGTAAAGCTTATATATTATTACTATATAAAAGTAAGCTAATTTTATCTTTTTCCTATATAATAAAGTAGCTTACTAGGGGTATTATATAATTAATTAGCTAGAGACCTATAGTAGCCTACCCTAATTAGATATTATTAGTACTAAAAGCTTAGTTATATACTTATATATATATAGCTAAGAAGAGCTATTTCCTATTTAGAAAGCTTATTTAGCTAAACTTAAGCTTTAATAGGCTACCTTAATATTACCTCTTTAGTAGGCTATAAATAGTAATATTAAGTAGTTAGAGGATATATAAGGTATATATAGGGATTATAACTATATAGATATTATTATAGAGATATATTAAAAAAAAAATATCTATTAGGTAGGACTTATATTTATTTAAGACTAGTAACTACTTTTAATTAGCCTATACTAGCTAAGTATAGGGAATAAAAATTTCCTATAGCTAATAAAGGCTTAGCTTATTTATAGTCTACCCTTTTTTACTATATACTATATACTAAGACTTATAATATATTAAATTAGTAAGGAATTACTATTCTTATACTATCTCCCCCTTATAAATAACTAGGGATAATAGCTTCTAATTAGTTACTAATATATACTTAATAATTATAATCTACTATAAGGACCCCTAGTTTATATAATATATATATTTATTACCTTAATTTATACTAATTATAAGCCTATTCTAGCTACTACCTTTAGCTAAGCCTATTTTATCTATATTTTAATAATTTAATTAGCTAATTTTTACTACTATAGGGTTTATATAGATATTAAAAAACTTATTAATAATATTAAGCTATATAATACTAGCCCTCTTTTAGTATAGTGTCTTAGTATATTAGGTAGTAATTATAGGGTTCTTTTCCTTAAAGGTAATAAACTAATTTTAGCTAAGTAGGCTATTATTACTATTTTTAGCTACTAGCTCCTATACTATTAGCTATATTTAGGTATAAGTTATTAGTATCTTTAGTTTTTCCTAGATTAGTAGCTAATTATAGAGTATAGTTTTCTAAGCTAATATTAATTATTATATATAACTATTAATATTACTATAGGTTAGGCTATTAAGATAGTACTTTTATAAGGTAGAGTATAGAATATAATATAATTCTATAGCTTAGTAAAGACTAGTCTTATTTATAACTAATAGGATAGTATTATCTATATTATCCTCTAACTAATTAGGCTTTAGTAGTATTCTAGAAGAGTAAGGCTAGTAGAAAGTATAGTAGAATTGCTCTAAATTAGTATATATAGAGCCTAAGGGTAGTATATATAGAGTATTAAAGAGGTATATATAGAGCTATAAAGCTATAGATATAGAGCTATAAAATAGTATATATAGAGTGTTAAAGAGGTGTATATAGAGCTATAAAGCTATATATATAGAGCTATAAAGTAGTATATATAGAGCTATAAAGTAGTATATATAGAGCCTAGGGAAGTATATATAGAAGTATCTTATAAATTAGCTTAAGGAATATAGTGGCTTTATATAGTCTATGCTAAGCTACTAACTTATTAATTTTTTACTAACTAATCTGTTTTTTTCTGCTAACTAATCAATTCCTAACCTCCCTAGCCATACTAATAAGCTGGTTCCTGGACCAGGGTGGTGGTTCCTGGAGGGGGTGGTTGGGTTATACCCGTTGCGAAGGTTGACGACGCCACCGTTGGCAGGGGCTTCGACGGGTCTTGGGTGCTCGGGATTCCCCGAATAACTTCGAATAAAACCTGGCCGTCTCTGCGGCGTTGAAGCTCCTCCACAAAGTTAGTAACAATGCCTTTGTTGTCCGCGTTATTTACTTCCTCAGTTCCCTTGACACCTCCCCCTTGACACCTCCCACAGCCTGCATAGGCTTGTTCAAGGGTCGCCCACCGGGCGCAATTGTGCGGATATGTACCAAAGTTTTCGAACCATCAAACCGGTAAAGATGGAGCAGGGGGACGCGCACGTTCCGTCTGTTAGGATGAAGATATCCTCCGGCTTCCACGGCGCTTTTCTTTGTTGAAGTTGGTTTGGCTCGTATCCACGTAAAAAGACATTCGGCTGTGTCTCCATGAAAGGCGGACGTCATTTTCTGACCTTTGACCGGCGGCGCATCGAAGAAGGCGTCTGCCGAGTCAATTGTTATATTATCGGGGCCGAATGGAGGATCACCGTACCGACTTCTTATAATCGAGGAACTTTCTCGTGAGCTCGAGCCCCCCGTTGAAGGCGATATCGGTCAAAGTCGTCGAAAGGAGCCCCTGGAAAGAATGTAGTGTAAGCAAAATCGGCAAGGTTTAACAGACCGGCGGCGTTAGCAGACATGTCGATAATGAGCTTTTGTCGACCCTGCTCCTTGTCAACTTGCGCGGTGCGGTCCACGCAACCAAACTCGCGAACAAAAGCACTTTCATCGAGGTTCGGGTCATAAGGATCATCGACGCCAACAGGCACGAAGCTAAGGAAATGAATAACGGTCGTGTCGTGCGCAGACCGGAATCGTTGAGAGCGTAGCTGGCGACGTTGTTCATCGAGTGCTTGACAAGCGGCGTCGGGTATCCAGGAAAGGCGGAAAGAGTAGGCTTAGGAGGCGGAGGACGCTGCTAATACTCTTTCTAGGACGGCTATAACAGGAACGGAATATTTTCGGGTGGGACTTCAAACCTGTTGTAAAAGCCTTAACCCAAGCGAATACCGCAGAGATTGGTCGTGGGAAGTGTGGAGATGGAGCTAATGACCACTCGAGAAGTCTCATTCTTGTGCACGATGGTATAGTTGACGGGGATCTAGAAGATGGAGAGCTGCGCGCCTCAAGCTCCTCCAGCAGCAAACAGAGGAATGGAACCAAGGGCACTGTTGAGCACTGCATCGGGGTCTTGGAAGCCTTGAGGGGTCCTTATAGCATTATTCTTCATCGCTTGCGGACGCCGAACCACTATAGTGACATTATGCAATCCGATAATTCTATAAGTTAGAATGATCCTTAGTGTATTGCCAATCATCAGATCATTTCAGATCTAGTCCGGTTTCACTGCAAGCCATATTTTATGAGCCGGCTTTCGCCCCCGGCCATGGTGCTAATGAAATTGCTTCTAATGGCCAGCTCGGCTGTAGCCATGGTGCCGCATAGGAGCATGATGAGCGTGCTATCAAGGCGCCGGCGTTCGTCATGGGGTTGGACAAGCAGGACACCAAAAAACGTTGATCCATGCGCAATGACCAGCATGGCATTTGAAGCTGTACGGAACGAGACGTCGACAGAGCCCATTATTCTCGATTTGCGACCATCGTTCGGCACTGCCTACCTCAAGTCTGTTCCCGTCGCAACTGATCGCAACCTCGCTCTCCTCAGCTGCCTGAAGCCCTACATTGAGTACCAGGGCACATTGGAGATTCTCAAAGATCCACCAGAAGAATACCTGATCCCTGGTGTTGACATCATAGGCGGAATAGAAGCTATGCGGCAAAATCTCAAGGGAAATGGGTACCAGACACAATTCGATTGTCATGACTGATCTACAAAGCCTTGTAAGTCCATCATAGCAATTTCCGAATGCCTCCATGGTGCTGATGTTGACAAGGCTATATAATTCGTCGCGGCCGATGATTTCCATTTTGGAGACACGCCTGGCCTGTTCAGCGCGTTTCGGCAGGTTCGAGAGGACTTTGAGTTTGTGTCCATGAGCTGCCACAGTCCAGGACATCAGTACATGCGAATGGGGTATACACGCCGTCCGCTATCGATGCGATAGATGGTTAAGATGTGTATGATTTCTTGAAATGCGGGCGGCATGAGTCCAGTTTCGAAAGCGAGTCATTACATACGTCTCAATAATAATAGAACGTGGAAAAAAACTGGCGCAGAATGGCGAGCGAACGAAGATGGAAGCCAAGAGAAAGACGAAATATAAGGTTGTCTTTGAGTTTCAGCTTTGGCGGCGGCTGCGCCATTAAAGAATCTTCTTATCGAAGAAATTCGATGAAGCAGTAGACGTCACTAGTTACCGAAACAGGCAGAAAACTTCAGGATTTCGTCTGTAGGCGACGCTGCACTCGCTCCTATTGTCGTGACTTGCACTGACACCTAGTTTCCCTTTTAGCGGATTTTTGTTCCGTGGAAGACAACTCGGAAAGAGTTGGACTGCCACGGTTCTGAACTTCTACAATCAATGTCACAGATTAGCCATACGCCGTGCTGCCAAGAGGCTGGGCTGGTTCCGTACAACTGAGGGTTGTACACGGAAAATAACCTTCGGAACATAGATGAATTGAAATCGCTCCAAGTGCTTGCGTGACGGATGATGGAGCGTCTGATCCGTCAGCAGTTCTTCAGTTCAACTAAGAGTGGCCCGCAGACAACTTGCCACCGGTAGCAGTAAGCAAGCAATTGCCGTTCTTCTCTCTTCTCTCTCGTATCCTCGCAGCCCCCTATAAAAAGCACGCTGCCTTGATAGAGTTGGATTCCCTACTCTCTTTTCTGATCTCCCTCCTCATTTTCCTGCTCCTCCAGAAACTTCCGGAACTCCTCATCGGTGATGGGAGCATCTCTGGGGTCGTCACTCTTGGGTTTGCGAACATCCTTGCAGGGCAGCACCGCAGGGTCGATGTAGTTAACATGGTGACTCACGTTACATGTTGACAGGGCCACCACATTGGGGATCGAGGCTTTCCCACAGGTAGGGCCCGCACACTCCTCTCTGGTGTTGCACTTGGTAACCACCCCCTGATAGCCCTGTGAGGTTCCCAGCAGCCCCGCCTTGTACCAATATTCCGGGAAAGTATGGGCGTAGAACCCGAGCTGAAAAAGCGAGCCATAGGGCACCGCTGTCACAATATCGTTTCCGTTGGTAATGCGAGCGGAGAAGTTGACATCTTTGGTCACCAGATCAGCAAACTCCTGGTTGCCCACGCGCGGCGAGCCGTACGTATACAGATCACACGCGATCCCTCGAGTTCGTAGGTAGGCTCCTGCAATTGTGGCTACAGCGCCACCCAGGGAATGACCGGTGACAACCACGCGGTAGGACTCCTGCCCGGTCTTGGCGAGCTCAGTCTTTAACGTCTGTTCCAAGGCGTCCTTGACGCTGGAAAAGGCCTTCTTAAAACCGTTGTGGGTGGTGCAGCGGCCGCATGCAGGGAATAGATCTCTGTCGCCCAATCAGCAACGAGTCCAAAAAGGATAGTGGTTCGAAAGAAGAAGACAATAATCACTTACGCGGCCGACACCAGATTTTTGGCCAAGTCCGATTTCACATCCACCAGGGACATGGGATCCGTGCCTTTGAAAGCAACAACAATGTGCTTCTTGGTAGGGTTGACCGCGACATAGCCCGCGATAGTATCAAATGCATCATTGCTAAACTCTTTGACAGTGACGGTTCCTTGGGGGTTTGCGCAGACGGGGCCTTTATGATCCGTGCAGACCACCGACCCCGCGACCGTATTAAACAGGTCCTGACAGTAGGCCGCTTGAGCGTACTGCGAGAAGAGTTCAAACTGCACCGGAGAGGCCTTCTCAGAAGTATCTTTGCAACGTTAGTTTCTGGAACTGTCTTTTTCCGGTATCACATCAGGGCTTGTGTTACAGATTGATCGCTTGATTCAATCTGGCAGGAACTTGTAGAGATTCTCACCCTGACGCGCAATAACAGCTGGCGAGGCTAGGGAGCAGGCTGCTCCGGCCAAAATAAAGAAAGCTGTTGGTTGCATTCTGAACAAGATCAGGGAGCTCAAGAGGGTTCAAGAGAGTTAGTAAAGTAGCTGGAATGGGTACGGGGGAGTCAAGAACTAAGACGGTGAAGAATGCTTTGCTAGCAGGAACTTCGATGTGTATTTATATGTGTTTAATTGCGGTCATCTGTAACTACTTGTGATTTGGTGAGCCGTGTCCCGAGCATGAGTTTACCCTGTTGGCCATCATCATCCCCACGCACGGAATGACCACCTTGGCCATGTCTTACAATGCGCATCAAGTTATGCGCTACTGCGCCTGAGAAGAATATAGGTTCTCCTGTGTTGTTAATGACTTGGATGAGTTCAGCCATTAATCAAGTGCCGATGAGACAAGTTATGTGGCTGCCATTTAGACGAACGCTGGTTGGAGCCGATCGCCACGAGTCAGCGCTTCCTTCAGGGCATCCGATATTACAGGGTCCAAGGAAACTGACTAGTGTATTTGCCAAGTCGCAGATCATGTACAACGTTACTCACACAGACCTCACAAAGCGAGAAAAGGAAAATCTTCGTGGTCTCATTTAAAAATTAGTGCTGGAGGGCTCAGCTAAGGCATCCTCAACCAAGCAATAAATGACTCCCATCCCGCAATAGTTATGCGGTGTGATTTAGTAGGTAATTTGTTTTTGTTCCTACTCCGTTAAGAACGTGCCTCCCTACCAGAGTCGATCTGGATAGTAAGCTGAGTTGGACTGAGTTATAGCACCTTTTCTGACGCATGAACCTGCCCATCAAATCTTGACAACTAGTGAAGAAGGGTTGCAGATAGTGCCCTTGTTAACCCCGTGAATTCCCAGCCAATTCGCCGATCACAGCCCATTACATCGAGTCCCGGTTATCAAAGCGGACACCAGAAATGCGCTGTCGACATGACTCAACTATCAGGGTATCCACGAAAAAGGTCATTACTTGGATGGATAGAATGATCATTATTATCTAGACGCGCTCCTCATCGCCTGCGGCGGCGCCAACATCCGCCAAGTGTCCATCTCTCTGTTTGACCATGACGGCCTTTTGTAGGGCGGCCCTAGGCGGAAACTTGGCATTGAATACCTCCTCCATCTCTTCAAGGGTGCGACCGCGGGTCTCGACGCCAAGAAAGTACCAAAGAGCAGCGTATATAATGTTCAGGCCGACAAAGACAAAATAGTAGCGAAAGTCGATGGCCTCGAGAGCGACAGCAGTGACGTAGGTGTTGTACAGGTTGGCGCAGTTGCTAAGAATGACATGCTGTGATTATGAGTTCAGATTCTGCAAAAATAAAATGTTAAAAAAGACTTACAATACCCATGCCCTTGGCCCGCATCGGGGTGGATAGGACTTCCGCGCAGTATGTGGCCGTCAGAGGTGTGTAAATGAAAGAATAGGCGCAGCCAAAGAGGAAGATCTACAATAGTCAGTACCAGGACCAGAAGTTGCCTTGCAAGGGAAAACGCACAAATGCAATACCACTGCTTGTAATGGTCGAGCTCACATCCGTCTTCCCCCCCTCAAAGTAGCTGGAAAAGCCCGTAACGCCGCCAAACAGGCCAGCGAGAACGATGCTACCAACCCATAGCTTGGTACGACGCCCAATAGTATCATTCAGCGCCGAGCCTGCCACAGCACCCGCACCTGAGACAATGGTGTTGGCGAATGTCAAGAGCAGCTTGCGCTGGGGCGTCTTGACCCCGAGGAGCTTGTACATGGAGGGCAGGTAGTAAGTCAGGACGGAGTTACCACTGAGCTGAGCAAAGACGGACATAAAAGCCATCATGGTGAAGCGCCATCGCGCATTGGGTGAGCTGACAAGGGGCCAGTAGTTCCAGACGCTCGACGTCTTTTGCAGCTCAATGCCAGCCTCAAACTCACGAAGCTCGAGCTGCACCATCGGATGGTTCATGTCGCCGCCGCCGTGGTACTTGGCAAGGATGGCGGCAGCCTGCTCCTTCTTTCCCCACATGGTTAACCAGCGCGGTGACTCGGGAATGACGAGGGCGCCGAAAAAGATGAAGAGCGGCGGGATAAGCTGCAGACCAAGGGGAAGCCTGAAAGCCGTCTCGCCCGGGGATTTGATGGCGGCATAGGCGACGCCTGTAGCGAGGATAGCGCCCGTGTAGAAGACTAGGCAGTGTCAGAAAACAAAGGTCAGTACTAGGCGAGGGGTTGAGTAGGAATTCACAGGAGTTATAGTAGCCGACGACACGGGCGCGCCACTGCGGAGGGGCCAGTTCGAGAGCATAGGTCGGTGCCGAGGAAGTGCCGATGGAGACGCCGAAGCCGAGAACGAAGCGGCCACCGAGGAGGTAGGCGTCGGACTGCGCGGCGGTCTGGACGGCGGCACCGACCATGATGAGGACGGAGCCTGTCATCATCCCGGCGCGGCGGCCGAAGCGGTCGCAGATAGGGCCCGTAAAGAGGGAGCCGATCATGTTGCCGATGGTGTAAATCATGAAGATACTAGTTTGGATTAGTATGAGCAAGGCTACATTTATTTTGCGATTTGATTATGCTCACATGCCGGTGGCCGAGCCAAGCTCACTGTGGTGAAAGTATTTCTGGTACTGCGGCATTGCATTGATGGAGCTGAAGATGGACTACCACCCGTTAATTAGTCTTCTTTCCCAACGCGCGATCTCAGACTTCTCCATTTGCACAACATACACCGTCAAAGCCAGAGGCCGTGGCATTGAGGGCGGCGATGAGCAGGATAAGGTACAGCTGGATGCTCGTGCGGGACCACGGGTTCAGCGGCGCGGCGCTGACCGTCTCATAGAAATGAGCGTTGCCCTGGAGTTCGCGAATGTCGGCGGCACCGTGCTTGTGCAGGAACGGACGGTTGTCGTCTTTGATGGACGCGACCTGGGCGTCGTCGGTGGCATCAAGATTGCCCATGGCTGCGGAGACGGGGGGGTGGGACAAGTCGGGACAAGTTGGGCGACGAATTTGCGTCTTTCTGTCTACGAAGCAGCGGACATGGTCGAGATTAAAATGGCGATTCTTTTGAAGGTAGGCGTTTAACCACACCAACCAAGTTTCCAGCTGTAAAGGGCGTGTAGCGTAGAGCCTTGACCCCCACTCGGAAAGAGAGGTGCTAGAATAGGTAGGTAACAAACAACTGATAGGGCTGGTGGATTGTGGAGAGTTTGGGGGCTACGATGGGGAGGTGAGTTTTGTACACAGCAGCTACATCTCTTGGAGTGCGAAAGCCTCGGTTCTCAGCTCTAAATTGCGGTGAGTCGACCATTTTCAGGACCGCGTGGGGGACATCAGTAAAGTCTCCGCCTAACTTCTTCCCGTCTAGTTACGAGTTCTCCCGCCTTGAACAGGTCCGTCCTGTTGTCCTGTTAACCCCGCGTTGATGTCCCAGCGCCCAGACTAGGATTAGTGGCGCTGGAGGGTTGCCGCTTGTGGCAGTCGGCAGTCAAACCCTTGATTTCCCGCAAACGCGACATCTCCAGTGTCTCTCCGCAGATGACAAAGTTTTATAATGCTGCTTGCTATAAACGCACCTGCTCTGGTCCTAAGTAGAACAGTAGTCTCGAAAGTATGTACACAGCTCTGTGCAATATACGGCGGCGGCGCCTCCCACCTCAAAATACATCGGCGTTTCCCCCACCAAGCCACCCCCATGCGATCGGGATGGCTACAGCGGGCTGTGGCACCCGCGTTGAGCCCCATTGGAGCCAACACTGAATCCCATGGAACCTGTACAATGGACTACGGTCTTATGCTCGGACTTCTTCGATTGAACATTCATGACGTGTCCTTAAAATAGTACATACCCCATAGTGTTGTTGCCGTACACCCCGCACAGCACTGTAACGTTCTCCTCCCCCCACCTATTACTACGGTGATGCTCAGCACTGCTCTGGTCATGAGGCGCGCCCTGACAAGGTCTCGGAAGGTCTTGAAAAATGACCATGATAATCTTCTGATGTTACATCCGACAGTCATGCTGTATTTGCGGTGTTATTTTGGGAAGCATAGGTGCCTGACTACTTCCTTGCATCTCACAGCCACGTTGTCATACAAATTTGCATAAACTTGACAAATATATTTACATGGGGATCGTTGTCAGCACAACACCTGACACGGCCTATCATAACAGTCCTCCCAGCTTGTCTTCCCCGACGCCCAAAAGTCCGGAAACAGCTGTAACATGGTGGTCGCACCGCACTCTACATTCTCCATGCCCTGCATCGCTGCAAGGCAACTCAGGATCCTCTCCTTGCCCTCGTCAGGTCCGTCCGCGTACGCGGCTCCTAGCACCGCAAACGCCCAGCTGAGCACGCTCGTCTTGATGTACGTCCCTGTTTGCTCAATCATCTCGAAAAGGACCCGCCGGTAGTGCGCGCGTGGGTTCGGCGCGGCGCCGGCAAAGTGCTGCGCGAGATCTGGCGGCAGCGACAACACGGCGTATAGGGCCGTCGCCACGGCAAACGTGCGCGCCAGCAGTGGTCGCAGCGGGTCGTCTGGGACCGCATACGTCTCCGTCCATTCGTCGGGGACAAAAGCGTGCAGGTCCTGGGCAATCGCTTTGGCCATGGCGCCCAATGGGTCTGGCGCTGCGAGGCTGCCCGTCGCGGCGAGTACGCGCAGGCGAGTTATGCGAATGATGGCCAGCGCGACCGAGCTGGGGCATCCAAACTCGAAGTAAAACGTGAACCGGTACACTGTGCAGATCTCGTCCTCGCTCCACGCGTCCAGCCCGTCAATCTGGCTTGTGGCCGGACTGCACGCGTTGCCCACAATCGCATACCTGAACAGCATCAGCTACAGTGTACCGGCAACAACCACGTAAAAACTGACATAAGGCAATAATGGAATGCCAAAATGACTCGCGGCCATGTCTTTAACATGGAACTAACGCCACCGTATGAGCTTACGACGGCAAAGAAGCCTTGTAAATGACCTCGCCATGGAGAGCCCACAATGGCCAGCTGCAAGTGCGTTAACCAGCCTATCGAGCGTCCCGAATAAGAAAGCTGCTCACCTCGACGCTTAGCAAGTCGATGATTCGGGAAATGATGTACCCCGGCCGGCTGCGCGCGTTGATGTGCTTGTTGAGATGCGCCATTGTTTCTCCCATCTGGGCGTAGAACATGTCCCACAGATGCTCGATGCCGAGGCCCTGTCCACGCCGCACAGGGACGTTGCGGCTCAGCGAGGCCAGTTTGATGCGCTGGCACGTCATCATCATGATGAACCCGGGATGGTACGGAAAGACGGAGATGTGCGAACCCGGAACAAACTGCGCGTCGTAGGCATTTTCAACCACCTGAAACTTGGAGTACATTGGAATCGATACATCGATGACTACCATCACGCGCATGTTAGTTTTAGTATCCTGATAACGTAGGACTGGATGTCTCCCCAGCTGCCTAGCCACTCAGGGGAGACGAACAAAATCGCATGGCTTGGGCCGCATCCCAACCGGGCGGCTCGGTTTGGTGCAAAGGCGCGCCGCCGCCGAGCACCTTTTGTGTCCAAATCGCGAGCCAGGCGGCACCCGTGGCTGTGTCCCGGGGAGGCGACGGCGACGGCGTCTCCAACGTGTACCGACAGGGCCGATTGCTGACAGCGCACCGCTTGCAGATGGGATGGGTCTCATCGCACTTGATTCGGCGCGTTCTGCAAGGCCCCTCGAGACAAGGACGAGTCAGCGAGTGAGCGCCATATACAAACGAGGGGCTCGCGACCTGAGACGGAACGTACCGGCAAATTTCGCACCCTGTGCGGACCCGGGGGGCCCAAGTCTTCTTACGCTCCGCGTCTGTGAGCGCCATTGTACATGTTCCGCGCTCGCAGGTCAAAAGGCAGACGGTCAGAGATTCGGACCTCTGGGCTCACATAGCTGGCTGCGGCATTGCAGATTGCGCTTATAAAGAACTAACTCAAGTCGTGACAATAGTGAAATCATATAACCCTAATAGGCTACTGACAGTGGGGTCGCAAGTGCTAGCTCAGTGCTAGAAAATGGCAAGTTACAGCGAGATGCGTACTAATGAGGCTACCTACAGGTACCTTACGTATCTAGAGCCCTGAAAAAGTACCTAGAAAAATCAACTTCGCACCTTTCGAGACTGAGGATCGGGCTCAACAAAATAAAAGGCTCGTGGCGGTTTCGTGATATTTTCGCAGGCTGAACAAGTAGGTTAGCCTGGATGCCTTCGTCTGTATCAGATGGCTTGCACAACCATGACAACCGAGGGCATTCAATCTGACCAGCCTTTATCATCAGTTACAGTCGATATCTGAACCCAATGGTCTTCCAGTCCGTGACATCCTCGAATGCCTCAGGTCCAAGCTCCACAGGCGGAACATCCATGCTATCGCCTAATTTTGCGTCTGCGTCTGCGACTGCGCCAGCCGTGACCGTGCTGCCGTGGACCCCTTCCATCTTGGACCGGAGAGCATTGAACCACCTCAAATACATGCGCAGCACAAGAGCCAATACAATAACCAGGGAGTAGGAGACCATAATGGTCCTAAACGCCGTCTTATACGTCGGCGCCTCACTTTCCTGAAAGAATTGAGGCCCAGCAATATTTCCGGCGCAGTATGCGATAAACAGAAGTGCAGTCATTGTCATCTTCTTGGTAACACCCTTGAAGTTGGACGATACCAGAGCCATGTTGAGAGGCATGGACGCAGGACCAGGCGACAGTAGGAAATAGGCGAAAAGCTGCACGCCAGACGAGGGGATCCTGTTGCGGCAGTATATAATGGCTGCGCCGACAACACATGGTACAACAACCGCAATGATAAGAATGCAATTAAGTGCTCGGTAGCGGCCGGCCAGCCAACCCGTGCCGGCAATGATGACGGCCGAGACGAGAGAATACGGAATGTTGATGAGAGTAGACTGCAGGCTGGTGAAGTTGAATGACTTGATAATCATGTTGGAAAAGTTTTGAGTGCCGCTGTTAGGAATCTGCCCAAGGAGGGCAATGCAGGTGATGAGCCAGGTTTTGGGGTCAACAAGGCACTCGCAGACTTGCTCCCACGAGAAGTGCGTTTCTTCCGTGCTTCCAGTACCAGCGACGATGGTGCGACGGGCTGCTATCTCGCGTTCCTTGCTCGTGAGAAACTTTGCTTTGGAGATGGTATCAGGGAGAAGAAAGTACATGGGAATAGTCCAGAGAAACGTCGTCAGGCCGAGGATAATGTACATCCAGCGCCACGGGTGGACATTGTCCTTGACATGACCGACGCCAAATGCGAGCAAGCTCGAGGCCAAACCGCCAACCGCGTTGCCCGCGAACCAAAGCCCCACGCGCGTGGGCATCTCGTCGCGCGTGTACCAGGTTGATGTCAGAAACAGGAAGCCCGGCGTGATGGTGGCCTCGGCGACGCCCAGCAGGAAGCGCACGGCCATGAGGCCACCAAAGGTGGTGCACGCGGCCGTTATGGCGACGACGGCGCCCCAAAACGCCGTATTGGCGGCTAGGTATTTGCCGATGGGCACGCGGGCGACGAGCAGCGTGGTGGGATACTCCCAGACGAGGTAGCCAAAGTAGAAGATGCTGGCAACCCAGCTGTACTGCTGCCCATGCAAGCTCTGCAGGATTATTAGTCCCCACTGCTCTCTCCAAAGTATTCCGGCGGAAAGAACTCACTGTATCTTTTTTCAGACCAAACACGGCCGCGCTCGAGAGGATCACCTTGTCCATAAAGTTTAGCATGTACGTGACAAAGAGCAGCGGGATGATGGCGCGATCAATCTTCCGCAGGACGCGGCGCGCGAGAACCGCATCGTCGCGACCGCGCTCTTCGGCAACCACATCAGACGATCCAGCCATTGCTTCTCGAGACAGAAGCAGCCGCTCTCTCTCTCCCACTCGCGACATGTAGTTGAGATGCAGGGCATTTACTAGTAGTGACTATCGCTCCGTGCAAAATTTAAGTTGCGCCAACTTCAGCTGTACCAGCATCTTGCCCACTTTTGCCAATTGAGCTCCCCGCCGCCACCTCGGTTTAGTCCAGGTTTTATAGCAAGCTCGCGCCTGAAGCATCGTGCGCTAGTCCATAACTTAAAGTCTGAATTCCTAGGCATCCTGCGTTGTATTCGCCGGCCGTGGATGACGCTGTAGAACTAGGGCGAGTATATTATCGTACGGGCCCTAGCCATGACGGCACAGTCATGACGTCGTCTAGCCGAATCGCTCTTATCAAGACGGCCCTCCCCGGGAAAGCAAACAAATCATTCAACTTTTCCTCGATTCTTAAGTCTCCCCGTTCGTCGCATACTCTAGAAGAAACCATCTGCCTTGAACACCCCGCCATGGACAGCATTCTTAAAGCAGCCGGTGGCAGCCTCAACAACAAAGAGGGCGAGTCCAACAAATTCATGGACACCATTAACAACGTCGCCGGTGGCGGAGAAAAGTCGGAACAGCAAGAAGATGGACTTGACAAGGTACAGCGTTCTACCCCACCCGCCCAAGGCGACGTCCATTCGTAAAGTCCGTTGTTAATTCAAGCAGGCCGTCGATTTTGTGCAGGAAAAGGTGCTTGGCCAAGGCCAGCAGAGCAACGAAACCGCGGCAGAGCAGGCCAAGGACGAGGCCGTTTCCGACTACATCCGCGACAAGTACAAGGGAACTACAGGCAGTGATTTCCCCATCGCAGACAAAGACAAGAAATACGGAGTATAGGCTACTATCACCCTCACCTCGCCCTCGCCAGTATAGTTGTAAAGTACCAGTATCAACTATAGACGAGGTTTAGATGAAATATTAAAATTGAAACCCCTAAATTATTATCTTTTGCATAATTATCCTGGTCTATTCCTATTTTCGACTATTACTACGAGTTATTCTATAAATCTGGTGGCACACCGTGCTGGTACCTCTGTCGCGGTATAATGTCCTTTATAGTGCAATTAGTGACTGTTTAGGTACCGAATCCAGGCTTCTGTTCTGTGAGGGAGGCTCCACAGCCACTCCTTGTTGTTGTCCAGTGTCTCAGTTCAGGGAGTGATCCCAACTGTTGCTGCAAAACACCAGCTTTCTCATAGCAGTACACTCACGGCTGTTTGTTACCCTTTTCCCTCTCGACTCTTGCCAACGCTTCGTACTCCTCCCGGGCCTTGTCAAACTGAGCCTGCCAGCCTAGGGCTCTTCTCCGCTTGGCCAGACGCAACAGGGCCAAGTAGCCCTGAGCTGGGTCCTCCCTCGCTTCTTCGTTCGCAATTGCCTTGGAGATGTTCATGGTCCGCCAGTCGCCTTCACTCTCGTAAGATGAAATCCAAGTGTCTGTATTCATGGACATCATGTGCGCGGCATCCACAACTGGCGGAAGCCCACGGGGTGGAGAGAACGTCACCTCGCCTACGTTGTTCGCCAGCGCGTACTGGCTCAATGCCAGTTCGTCTTCTTCGTCTTTGTAGTCGCTGATTCTCCCAATGCACTCCCAGACGTGTTTTAGTAGTTGGCCGCTTGCGACCCGCCCTGCCGCTTTTTCTTCCAAGTTAAGCTCGTACGTTTCGAAACCATCGGAATAACCAGACTCCTCATGGAACACTTCGTGGCCGAACTGCACATACCCCTCCTTGTAGAAGGGGCCGTTTCTTGACTCGTCTTCCATGCTGGGAACAATAGGCTCTCCGTCTGGTCGGTACTCGGTCGGCTTAAAGTCGAGATGCAACCTGTCCACGACGTACGGCGTCGCCTCCATCGGTGTTAGGTAGGCATCCACCACGCTGATCCTGTGCTTGTTTGTCGGTGCCGCTGCAGACTCGATGCCTTTTGTCTCATCGTCCGCTGGCTTATACCGGAGGCGGCTAAGTGAGATCAAGGCCAGAGCGGCATAGAAGCTCCAAAAGGTGGACGTCTTGAGCTCACCCCAACGGCGAGGAAGATTTTCTGGGTACCGCGCCAATTTAATCCATTCGCGGGGCACTGCCTTTGGGTCGGGTCGTATGATGCGTAGATTCACGCGCAGGCTGAGTATACGCTTCGTCTTGTATGGGAAAGACAGCCACGTGGGGAACACGCCTACGTCTTTCAATCATGAAGTCAAGAATAAAAGGAGCCTTTGTTTTGCCCGTCTTTAACGTCTGGTTGATTAGAAGCGTGACATCGTCGCGCAGCTGCCGGCATGTTGCCTGCAAGGCCCTGGCGGACCGAGCCAGCGGCCAGGTCCCGGGCTTCTCGATGTAGATGTTGGTCTCCTTTGGGTTCCTCTCGTCGAAGCAGTTCCCCAAGTGAACGCGTTGCCGCATAAACTTGTTGTCAAAGACAGGTTCGCCTCGCCGGTGGGACCGCGTCAGCACGTCGAGGAGGATGACGCTGCGAATCTCCCATGGGAGGCTCAGCAGCGATGCCGGCGCATCCTCAGCCGGTGCCATTATTTTGAACAGCGTGTCCTTTTGAGATTGCGGTCACTGCTGTCTTCGTTGCCGTCGCAGGGTATGCTATTTCGCTTTATACACCCAGAAAGGGCAGAGTCACTCTTTCGATTGACTCTACGCAAGCAGGCAACTTAACGGTAGCCTCGTATTGGCTAGCGCGTAGGAAGAAACCCCACTTTTAAAGGCTATAGATCTATATATTTAAGCTATTATAAAAGATAGTATTTATTAGTTATTAAGAATTAATTATTAGGAATTAAATTAATATTATTATTATACTTTTATAATATAATAGTTCTATATTATAAACTTCTATATTAGTTAGTATAAAGATTACTAGTTTAAAATTAGCTCGAAATACCTTAAATAATTTTTCTAAAAATAAAGTAATACTTAATTTATAACTAACCTATAAAGAAATATAAGGAAAATAACTATAATAAGCTAAGGTAAAAGCTAAGATAATATATACTAAATACTATATTATTTTTAGTTTCTAATTAATAGAATAAAGCTGAAAATTATATAAAGATTATAATATATAATCTAAAAAATACTAATAATAATAAACTATTTTATTATTTAAATATATATATAAATAGGAAATAATTAAAAATATTTAAATAGTTAATAATTAATAAAAGATATATAAAATATAGAATAAGCTAGTAGCTTAAGAACCTACTTACTAAGAATACTAAATACCTTTAAATACTATTAGGAATTATTATATAATAATAAAATAATATATAGAAAAAATAGTTTTTACTTAAATATAGGCTAGTAATAATTAAATACTATAGTTTTGTAGGTTCAACATAGCTTTTTATCTTTGTCCTTGTCTGTCCTCTTCCTCTTCTGTGCCCTGTTAACAGCTTTGCGAGAATTGTGCTCGCTTTCCTTGCCCTCTACTATTGTACTACTGTACTTTTGCAGTCGCACTATTGCAGTCTCACCATTGCAATTGCAACGCAATAGAAATAGCAATGGCCCTTTCCTTCGCCAAGCTGGCCGGCCTCGTGCTCGGCGCAGCGATATGCACCGCCGCTGCCGATGATTCCTTTCTCCAAAAAAGACAGCTTCACGGCTTGACCGACCAAGGCTCAAGCTCGACCTCCATCGCCGCCGCCGCAATCATCACCCGCGCCCCGTCTAGCATCACGACCCAGGCTGGACCCCTCCGCTGGGAGCTGACGACCGTCTTCACGCAGCCCGACGAGTGTGAGGGCGGCATCACGCAGTACGCCGGCGACCTTTCCACTCTGGGCTACTGGCTCAACATCCCGTTCCCGGCGCCAGGCCTTACGCTAACGTCGTGCTTCCCGCCGGCCCTAGTCGCCAGCGCCACGGCCTCGGTCGACCAGCCGCCGTACAGCCAGCTCGTCTGCCCGTACCGCTGGCAAGTGGTTGACTTCAACTCGACGTACCGCGTCTGCTGCCCGCACGACTACCGCATCTATGCACCTGCCATGGTCAGCCACTCCACGCTGCCCGACCGCCCCGGGCTCGGCGCCTGGTGCACGTCGTGGGTTCAGGCCGGCAAGTTTGCCGCGCTGACCATCTACGACAAGACTGGGGGTTCTTCGGTCGTCGAGACGACGCTCGGCGAGTCGGAGAACTGGCTTGTACAGGCCACCGCCTTTGACGGCACCGTTGCCACAGACGTGCCCAAAACAACCAGCTCTAGCTCCACCTCGACGCCAAAGTCAACCGATGTGACAACTACGACGCCTAGAAGCACGCCGACGAAAACGACGACGAAGACTACTACTACTACGACCACCCCCGCCACCACCTCGAGCGCCGGGTACTCTGGCCCGACTGCGCTCGGTGCCTTGTCTTCGTGTGGTGTAATTCTTCTTTTCCTCTGCTTCTTTTTCTCTTAATCGTCTGCTAATGTGCCCTGATAATCTGACTGAAGACGTAATATGCAAATTTCTTGTCAATGACGCTGTAGGCACCGTTGAAGTAGTTAAGAGAAATTTCAGCATTATATTGGTGCCGGGCTAAAGACCTCTGCAGATCCTTGGGCATCAACGCGACACTTATAAAGTGCTAAACTACGGCGAGTAGTCGTATTTTTGAATTATCGACTCAGCGAACGCGATAAAGGATGCCGTGCTACTCTGCAATCTCGAAACCTGCTAAATATGGCGTGCATGACGGCGATATCCCTGTCTATCGCAAACTCTAACTAGACCGAGGTGCGGGAGGGAACCTAGCATGAGTAGGAACCGTTAGTATGCCGCCTCGCTATGTACGACAACCGAAAGAAGGGAGATAGGGATAGCTTCCACCTGCTTGTAGACGCTGTCGATGTCGGCGTGCACTACGTAAACGACGAGGGCGAGCCGCGGTCTATGGGCAGCGTGGACGAACTCTTTAGATACGTCGCCACCTCGCTTAATGAGTCCTGGGATACGGATGAGCTCGTTAAGTAGCATCAACGATACGCTGAGAAAAATAGCCTGGACTCGAACCTCCTCGCCGTCGTCGACGATAAGTTTGCTACGGAGGGTGCTCTTCTCGTCTAGGCGGAACCGAGAAAGAAGCTCTGGTGCAAGCCGCTAGTGGCCGGCGAGCTCCTCTACTGGCACGAGATTGGCTTTATGGACTGGGCCGAGATTGAAGATTTCGCCTCTAAGCACTCTGATATTGAGAAGAGGTCAGTCGAGCAACGGGCGAGCAGCTCGCAGCCGGCTAACACTAGGAACCTAGACATTGAAGAAGCCGGCCCGAATAAGCCTTGCGAGGGCAAGGGCCAGTGAGCTCCTGATGGCGAAAGGGGCAAGGCTCGGGAGAGCGTCCGCGGTCGGGGATGGTCGGTAACTCGATCGAACCGCACGAGATTCTGACCACATTTAGCCGGCCGCGCCAGTAATCGGGCGGGCTGGAAGAGATGGCAAATGTGAGCTCCGGAGGAGACGATGGTCGAGGAACTTTGGTGGGACTACAACCTGAAAAAGGCGTTGAAGGTGGAGGAGTCAAAAGGATGCGAGGAGTGGAGAGGATGTGGCGCCTACATCACAAGAATCCAAGCCCTAGAAAGATACCCTAATTCCCATATAAATTGTACTATAAAGGAGGTACCGTGGCAGGGCAGAGTTCCTCCCTTGTTAGATAGAACATGCAGAATATCAAGTTGCTTTTAGGGCACATATTCCGGCTGTGATTACCTGCGCACACGTGCAACGCTATTACTGTTCGTAAGCACAGAAAACACAATAACATCACAAAAGGATGATTGCCGACTTAGTAGGGGTACGGCTACCAATAGAGACGCTACCCCTAAACAGCGTCTAGTTTATTATGAGATGCCTAGTTGAAAGCTACGTAATAATATCGAACAACTATAGAGAGGAGCTGTTGCCGGATCATCCTATCCGAACCTATATTCACCTGCCCACTTATATCATGGTTGAACGGTCGATCACGGCGCCAGTAATAGCGATGGGATGAATAATAAAATTAAATAACGTATTAGCTTAAAGATAAGCATATATTTACTGGTGTGTGGCACGTATGCCTCATCTTAGTGTGCCAAGGTGGCTGCGGGGCGTAAAAACTACCGTGTTGACTAAAGCTCTTTGCTAATCGCACGTGCGAAGCACAACCAGCTCTGTTACCTGTTGGTTCGTAGAGCTTTATAGGGCATCCACAAAGTCTTGGCTTTACCTGTTCCCGGAAGGTCGCTGTAGACGCGCTAAAGCGATCAGCATGCCAAGAGTAGAAGAAGGAAATAAAGGCTAGCCGAGCTAAAATGGTTAGGGGGCTATCATGAATTAGGAAACTTCACTTACTCTATGGCGCGAACACCCAGATGTAGGGGATTCCTGTTTTTTTGTTTCATCTTTTGGCTTACTCTAGGTATTGTCTTTATTGTGACATATGAACTAACCACCATATTATAGGTCGAGTACGTGGAGCATAATGCAATTTCGAGGGGTTTCGTCGCCGTCACGCAGAGCTCAGCCGAATGGGGTCTTGCTCGCCTCTCCAGCAAACAGACTGGCGCCAAGGACTACGTTTACGATGATTCTGCCGGTAAGCGGATTGATGTTTTCCCCCGATTGATGGCTTAAGAATTGGCCTCTGACATGACATCTCTAGGAACCGGAACTTGCGCCTACATTATCGACACTGGTGTTGACGCTTCCCACGCTGTAAGTAGTCGAGGTTCACACGTCAAGTCTACTACGTGACGGCTTTACGACAACGACTTGTATTGAGAGTCTAACCTTGAGAATAGGACTTTGACGGTCGCGCGAAGCAGATCAAGTCCTTTAACGGTAAAAACGAAGACACTGAGATCTGCAACGGACATGGCACCCACGTTGCGGGCACTATACAGAGATGGGCCACTGTCATATACGCTGCTCTGTTCAAGTTTGCTTATGATGGAAATCATACGGCGGTACCATGCCGAGGTCCAGACGCCTAGCTGCAACTTGCCTTCTTCGGCGCTCCCCTCCGCCTTGGTCTCGATGCTGATGGCGATTGGCCGGAACATGACGGGCGCGTACGTCGTCTGGTTGATAGATTGGGTCTCGAGCGGCTCCCGATGCAGTACGTGAGTCTGAATCGCCCGGAGCAGTTTCTCATCAGCGGCCGTGTCGTTCTTGTTGCCTTTTGGGGGACGACCGAGGGCGCGAGACCCATCAGCCGCGGGAGTCAACACAAGAGCCAAGTCAACCATCTTGCCGCCGGTAACCGTGGCATCGCCGCTGTCGCCAATGTCAGCCAGCGGCGGCATAAATGATGGGGAAATCCGAGCTGATTGTATCATCTCGCCGTCCACGTAGTGGTGGTATTTCAGCGCCAGGTTCAACAAAGGCCCATGTACCAGCATGTTGACCGCAAGTTCCGACCTGCTAAGCTTCTGGCATTCGAAACCAGTAAACAAAATCTCCTGTAGGTCATCGAATTGGCTTGCGACCGCCGGTGACGGAGAGGCTGCTTCCTGGAAGGAAAACTCCGGGAGCTCTTCACCAATGGCGCGAGATAATCTTTCGCGATCCTCAACCGGCAAATAGTGCGCGCGGTGCTGGGCGACTTTGCGGATACGGCTGTATAGTGGTTGCACATCTGTAGGCAACTGCTCTGTTGGAGCATATAGCTCGTTAAACCGCACAGGATTTTCCAGTCCTATCAAAGCCTGTTTCCTCTTCACAGGGCTTGAGCGCCTTGGAGACCTCTTTGAACCCTTTGACGAGGACGCAGATGAGGGTGGCAGTTCAGGACGGCCTACCCGCAGTGGCACCCCTTGCGAGGACGGCGTGGCGGTACTGTCGTTATTGCTCGGCCTACTATCATCGTCATGTCGACCAGGGCTGTTCTGCAAGACCTTTCGTTTCTTGGTCGGCGAAGCGTCTCGTCGACGGTCTTGAGAAGGCAACGCCGAATTCGGGGTAGGCATTCTGTTGGACGATGAATCGGCAACGCGTTTGCTGTCAACCTCGCCGTATTCGGCGTATGTGCGCTTGTTGACGTTGTGAAGCCAATTGACAATGCAAGCGGCACGCTCTTGTTGGACGTTATTACCAGACATTTGACAGCAGGGCAGCACGGACTTGCGTCAATATATATACGTATGATGGGATCATAGCGGATAAGGAACAGTTTAGGCAGAAATCAGCTTGGGCAGAAATCAGCTTGGGTAGAAATACACGTGCCACACCCCCACTGTATACATTAGGGTGTTAGATAGCCCTAAGGCCACCATAGCTATATAGCTATAATTATAGTACCTTATAGCTTTAAAAGTAGATAATAAATTTAATTAAAATATAATAAAAAGAGTAATTAGGATCCTTAATACCTAAATTATTAGTATTTTCTTTAATATTACCTTTAATCTATTTTTTATTATAAATAAAGAGTTTATTATAATTTATTATAAAATACTATAAGTAGAAATCCTAGACTATATATAGTATTATATAGTCTATTTAGAATTCTATCCTTTATTATAAATAGGGGGTTTACTATATTCTATTATTATATACTATATATAGAAAATTAGGTTTATATCTATTAGTATATAGTCTATTTTGTTATAGGCTGGGCTCTGGCCCAGCGCCTTCCATAGTGGCTGGTGTGGAAGAGAACCCTTATAGGTGCAACCAGACAACAATCGTGCTAGTATTGTTGTTACGAATCCTTTTGGCCTTACGGTTAAGGGGGTTAGGGCTTACGCCCTTAATGGCCGCGGGGCTGGTTGCCCCCGAAGCCCCTCTGGGGCTAGTCCGTCACATA